AATACGTCGTTTGATTTCTTGACTACTGCTTCCAAGAGTGTTGATGGTTGATCCAAGCAAAATGAAGTCTTTGACAACATCAATCTTTTTCCCATTGATAAGAATGTTATTTATTGATCCAGTGGTGAGGATTTTTGTTTTCTTTACATTGAGATGTAATCCATACTGAACACTATGGTCTTTAATCTTAATCAGTAAGTATTTTAAGTCCTCTTCACTTTCAGCAAGCAAGGTTGTATCATCTGGATATTGCAGGTTGTTAGTAAGTCTTCCTCCAATCCTGATGCCACATTTTTTCTTCATAGAACCCAGCTTCTCGGATTATTTGCTCAGCATACAGGTTGAATAAGTATGGTGAAAGAATACAACCCTGTTGCACACCTTTCCTAATTTTAAACCATTCAGTGTTCCCATGTTTTCTTTGAACAACTGCCTCTTGGTCCAGGTACATGTTCTTCATGAGCGCAATTAAGTGTTCTAGAATACTCATACTGCATAATGTTGTCCATAGCTTGTCATGATCCACACATTCAAAGGCCTTTGCATAGTAAATAAAGCATAGGTAAACATCTTTCTGGTATGCTCTGCTTTCAGCCAAGATCCATGTGACATCAGCAATGATATTCCTTATTCCACATCCTCTTCTGAATCTGTCTTGAACCTCTCTCTGGCAGTTCTCTGCCAATGTATGCTTGCAGCAGTTTCTGTATTACCTTTAGTAAAACTTTACTCACATTGGATATCAAAGATATTCTCCAATGATTTCCGCATTCCATTGGGTCACCTCTCTTTGGAATGGGCACAATCAGTTTGCCAGATAGATGTCTTCCAAATTTCTTGGCATAAATGAGTGAGTGCCTCCAGTGCCACCTCACTTTGTTGAAAGATTTCCATTTTCATTCCATCAATTTCTGGTTCCTTGTTCTTTACCAATTCCTTCAATGTACCTTGGACTTCTTCTTTCAGAAATGGTTGAACATCGGTCATTTCCTTTTGGTACAGTGACTCTGTGTACTCCTTCCATCTTCTCTTGATGCTTTTTGCATCATTCAATAATTTGCCCAGAGAATCCTTCAGTAACAAAAGTCAAGCCTTGAATTTTTCTTCAGTTCCCTCAGCTAAAATCTACAAACCTACAAGCCTGAAAGAAACCTACAAGACTAAAAGTAGGGAACTATTTCAGATAATAGAGATATCAATGTATAATGAAGTCAACTACAAAGCAAAACAAGGGAATAGTGTAGACACAACTTCCAAATGGTGAGTAAGTCAAGTAGATTTCAAGATAAAACAGATTGTTTTAAGCAAGGAAAACTTAATAAATTACAGGATAACCTCAAAGAAAAATAATAACCTGCACATCAAAATAAAAACAGAGAGAGAAATCAGAATGATTTAGTAAACCTTAACACAGCAGAAATGAAAATGAAAAGAAAATCCACACACAAAATGAACTCAGCGTAGAAAATTATATGGAATAAAGAATCCAGTAGCACTACACATTCACACAAAACACACAGAAAAATGACAGCAATTAATTCATATGTATTGATAATTACACAGAAGATAAATGGATTAAACGTACCAGTCAAGAGACAAAGAAAGCAGAATGGATAAGAAAACAGAATCTTTAAATATGCTGTCTGCAAGAGACATACCAAAAAGATGGAGACAGCTTAAATGCCCATCAACAGAAGAATGGTTAAACAAAGTTGGTAATATACACAATGGAATACTGCAAAACGAAGAATAATGATGAATCTGTGAAACACCTCACAACATTGTTGAACCTGGAGGACATTATGCTGAGTGAAATTGTTGTTGTTAAGTGCCATTGAGTCAGTTCATAGTGATCCAGTATAGGATTTCCAAGGAGGGCTGGTGAACTTGAACTGCTGACTTTGCAGTTCAAAATGACTTTGTAGTCCAGTGCATTAACCCACAGTGTCACACCAGGACTCCTGAGACAAATTAGTCAATTATGAAAGGACAAATATTGTATAAGACCAATGTTGTGTTAAAAAAAAAAAAAGATCTTCATAAAGGAAACAATTTATGATGGTTATGGCAGTGATATTATTTATAGGCTATATGATAGACACATGTTAACATGGGTGACAGGGCAGGCAATATACAAGAGGGAGATTGGCAGAGGAAAGATGAAAGTAGTGGGAGACACAGAGAGGAATGTAATAATTAAAGTGAATTGAATAGAGGTAAATACATGTTGGTACATGAAGGGGACTGAAACCATGTAATGAAGCACAGTGTATGATTTGTTGAATATAAAACTGATGAGCTGCTCCATAAACCTTCCCTTAATTCACAATAAAAAGTTGACAAAGAAAACAAAAGGTTTTCATACTAAAAGAAACATTCTTCTATTGTTACCAGGGATGGGAAGGAAGAGAGAGTAATTTACTGACCAAAGGGTAGACACATGTTAACTCAGGTGACAGGGAGGGCAATATACAAGAATTGGGGAGGGTAATATACAAGAGGAGTACTGGTGTGACACAGTGGGTTAATGTACTGGGCTGCAAAGTCGGTTTGAACCCATGGTCAGTGGTTCAAGCTTATCAGCTTCTCCTCGGAAACCCTATACAGGGTCACCATGGATTGGTACCTACTTGATGGCACTTAACAACAATAAATATACAAGAAGGGGAGTTTGGTAGAATAATGAAGATAGTTGAAGACACAGGGTGGTATGCAAGGGCTAAAGAGGATAGAGGTCAATAGTGATATATACATAACCTTGGAACATCAGTGTTATGTGTGTAGATACATGGATGGAAACACAGGCTGAATGGATATGAGAGGAAGAGTGGGATATATACCACAAATACATAAGAGCTTGAAAGAAGATTTTTGTGCATGGGTAATTGTATAGAGGGGATTGCAATCACTGAGATGAAACAAAGTACATGGTTAATTGAATGTAAAACTGATGATCTTGTCTGCAATCCTTCACTCAATTCACAGTAAAAAGTTAAAAATAAAAAAGCAAAGTAGAATGGTGAATTTGCCAAGCACCTCATAATATGGATGAACCTATCAAACATTATATTGAGGAACCTGAGACTATGGCTCTTGGCCATACTTCAAGTCTGGAATTGAACTCATCCCAATTTTCATCCAAGTGGTAGATACTTATAAAGGGGGGACAATAACACTAATGAGGTATTCATGGAATGATCAACCATTCAAGATTAAAAGGACAAAATTTACCTAAGTACAAAGTTCTGAAGATTTGGGAAGAAGGGTAGAAGGGAAATTAGAACCACAGGGAGTAAGTGGGATAGCTATTGTTACATGGAAGGAATTGCAATCATTCTGGTGAAATCCATGTATGATTTGTTAAATGTAAAACTGATGATCTGCTCTGTAAACCTACACTCAATTCAAAGTAAAACGTTTCAAAACAAACAAAACACCACACACAATACATAAAACAAGGCTCTAGGAATTGATGGAATACCAATTGAAATGCTTCATCAAACTGATGCAGTACTGGAGGTGCTCACTTGTCTATGTCAAGATATTTGGAAGACAGTTACCTGACTAACCAATTGGAAGAGATCCATATCTGTGCCCATTCCAAAGAAAGGTGTCCTAACAGAATGCAGAAATCATTGAACAATATCATTAATACCACACACAAGTAAAATTTTGCTGAGGTAATTAAAAATTGATTGCAGCAGTGCATTGACAAGGAGCTGCCAGAAATTCAAGCCAGATGTGGAATGAAGGATATCATTGCTGACGTCAAATGGATACTGACTGAAAGCAGAGAATATGAGAAAGATGTTTAACTGTGCTTTATTGACTACGTAAAGGCTTTTGACTGTGTCGAACATGACAAACTATGGATTACAGTGTGATGGATGAGTATTCCAGAACACTTTATTGTGCTCATGAGGAACCTGTACATAGACCATGAGGCAGTCATTAGAATATAACAAGGGGATACTGAATAGTTTAGTATCCAGAAAGATGTGCACCAGAGTTGTATCCTTTTACCATAATTATTCAGTCTGTATGCTGAGCAAATAATCTGAGAAGATGGATTATATGATGAAGAACGTGGCATCAGTGTTGGAGGAAGATTCATTAACAATCTGAGATATTCAGATGACATAACCTTGTTTGCTGAAAGGGAAGAGGAATTGAAATACTTACTGGTGAAGATCAAGACTACAGCCTTCAGTATGGATTGCATTTCAATGTAAAGAAAATGAAAATCCTTACTACTGGACCAATAAATAACATCATGGCAAACGGAGAAAGCATTGAAGTTGTCAAAGACGTAATTTTGCTTGGATTCACAATCAATGTCCATAGAAACAGCAGTCAAGAAATCAAATGATGAATTGCATTAGGCAAATCTGCTGCAAAAGACCTCTTTAAAGTGTTAAAAAACAAAGATGTCACTTTAAGGACTAAGGTGTGCCTGACCCAAGACATGGTCTTTTCAGTCACCTAATATGCATGTGAAAGTTGGACAATGAATAAGTAAAACTGTAGGAGAATTGATGCCTTTGAATTATGGTGTTGGAGAATAAAATTAACATGAACTGCCAGACATATCAACAGATCTGTGTTGGAAGAATAAGTACATCCAGAATGCTCCTTAGTAGCGAGAATGTTGAGACTTCGTCTCTCTTATTCACATAGTGTTAGGAGGGACCAGTCCCTGGAGAAGGACATCATGCTTGGAAAAGTGGAGGGTCAGTGCAAAAGTGGAAGACCCTCAACAAGATGGATTGATTTAGTGTCAGCAACAATGGGTTCGAACCAAATAACAATTGTGAAGCTGGCATAGTACTGGGCAGCCTTTTGTTCCATTGTGCTATGAGTAGGAATCTGCTTGATGGCACCTAACAACTATTGTGTGAGCCATGTTCTTGATGTAAACTTCTCTTCATATATACATAACTAAGTTTCACTGGTTTTGCTTCTCTGGAGAACCTTGCCTAAGACACATAGACACAAACAAGATGGCGGATAGGGAGGCAGTACAGTAAGGAGATCTGCCGGCAACCACACAGACTACAGGACCAAGCAGGCTCAGGGGATGGTCCCAGAACTCTGAACCACATATAAAGGAATATTTAGAAGGTTGGAAGGCTTAAAGCTGGGGGAGTTTGTGGCAGAAGCAAGAAATCCATTGCTTTCTGGTTCCAGACGCTCAGCTGCTCCACGAGCCACCATCTTGTGTGGGGCGAAGCTGGGGAAGGATCGGAACAGCCACGGATGCCTGGCAGAGATAAAGGTGTGGACATTCTTTTCTTTTGGTATCTGTTCGTTGGTCCCTCGCAGTCTGCGTATCTCCATTCTGGTGACTATAGGGGTGCCTGAGCTAGTGGACACCCCAGCCCTACCCTCGGAGGGTTCTACTATGCAGGTGCACAGATCTCCTCGAAATTTAAAGAGACAGTTTCCAATTAAAACAAAATGGCCACAGCTGGCCCTGAACTATTTCTAACTAGAAAAAAGGCCTGAATGGGGATTGTGGAGCGGGACAAGCAGACAAAAAAGGAAATAGGCTGAAGACACATAGACACACCAATTTGAATATTTTAAAGCATAATTAATACATTGAACCGCTTTGCACTGATCAAGCATATGTAACAATTACCAGGATTTTGCACCAATTGCCTCATATATTAATTTCATTTTTCTTTGCTAACATATTTAAAAACAAACACCAGACAGCATATATTTTCACACTTATATCCTGCTATCACATATGACAAAATAATCCATGATTTCTTGGTAATCCTAGTATCCAGGCAAAAGCAAATTACCCCAAAGGTCTTTGTACCTTTAGGACATAATGAATGCCTTTGTAAAGTGAATTTATTTTAATCAGGGTCAGCATAAAGTCCACTCATCTGGGTGTTGTGTGTCTTTAATCTTAATCTACAGCAAGCCTTCCACTACCACTTCATACCCATCTCATTGGCTTATTGTAAAAACTGGGTCAGTTGTCCTATAGAATATTTCACCTTCCCCAAATTTATCTGTTTCTTTCCTTGTGATATCATTTAACTTATTTTACTGTATTATGAATGAAACCATTTCCCTGTTTTGAGTGTCAGTCTGAGGATGAATTTGTCAGCTGTGTTGACATATACCCAGCATAATGGAGACAGCAGGATATGAGTCATAATCAGAAGGATGAGGACCTGAGAGTGCAATTACTAATTCACATCTACGTGTGATTTGGACATAAGGCCCATGTTAAGGGGTGTAGCATTTTCTGTAATCACAAACTTTACTAGAGAGAATCAAAGATTCCACATCATGATGGTATGCCAATATTCATTCTGAAAGAATGAATCCCCAGACTTGCTTCAAGTAACTGACAGTTCAACTTAAAAGAGATATTGCTAGAGTTGGAGGCTCCCAATTTCCCTTCTGTTTCAGTTCTTTGCACAATGAGGGTGGTTTTTCTGATGTGGTAAGCTTTGGTTTTCTTTCCTATTCTTTCTACATGATCACTGGAATACAGAGGAGTTAAATAGACATGACCTACGACCCCCTGCATGATCTCCTCATGCACCAATCAGGGTCAGCACATTTGACGGTGTCTTGTTGTGGGCTAATGCATCAGACTGCAAAGTTGTTTGAACTGTAAGATCGCTGGTTCAAGCTCACCAGCTGCTCCTTGGAAACCCTATACAGGGTCACTATGGGTCGGAATCAACTTGACAACACTTAGCAACAACAACCTTTATTTAAGATAGAGTTAATAGAAGCTTTGGAAATAATGGTTACTTCTGACAAGGATAGGTTTTAGAAATCTTTGGATAAATAAAATAGTTCTTTATGGTTTTGTTATAGGCAAAGAGCAGCAGTATGTATGCTATATTTGCGCACAGATCTGACCCTATTAATGTATCAGACTAAGGGACTACTGGGAGTCTGGTGTGGCACTGTAGTATAAGCACTGGCGTGCTAACCACAAAGTCGGCAGTTCAAACCTACCAGTTACTCCTTGGAAGCCCTATATAGGATTGCTATGAGTTGGAACCTACTCTACGGCATTTAACAACAACAACAATGGGACTGCTGAGGGTTAGTGTATGAGTTTTTTGGAGTCACTGGGTGGTGTGAATAGTTAACACACTTGGTTCCAAACTGAAAGTATGTATTTTGAGTCCGCTCAAAGGAAGCTAACAAGAAAGGACTTGTGATCTACTTCAGAAAAATTAGTCACTGAAAATATTATACAGCCAATTAATGTAATCATTATTAATAAATTGTATATCTGTAAAAAGTAGAATTGGCAAATATTGTGTGATAGTTATTATAGATAAAACTGTGTCCTCCAAAGGTACGTGTTGTAAATCCTTTCCTCTAGTCCTGGTGTGGCACTGCACGATAATGCACTGGACCTAAAGGTCAGTTTGAACCCTAAGGTGGTAGTTCAAACTCACCAGCCACTCCTTGGAAACCTATACAGGATTTCTATGAGTCCAAACTGACTTGATGGCACTTAACAACAACAAAGTGTGAGAAATAAATTTCTGTTTATTAAAGGAAAGCACTTGTGGTAATTCTATTAGAGTAGCACTAAATAACTAAGATGGAATTTGATACTAATAGTGCTTTATTGGTTATGCAAATGCTATCAACTGCATGGATCATGACAAGTGATGGAGTACATTGCAGAGAATGAGTATCCAGAATACTTAATTGTGCTCATGAGGAACCTGAACATAGACCAAGAGAACACGGGGGCATGGAATGGTTTAAAATTATGAAAGGTGTGTGCCAGTGTTGTTTTCTTTCACCATTCATATTCTATCTGTATTCTGAGTAAATAATCTAAGAAATTGGATTATATGAAGAAGAATGTGGCATCAAGATTGGAGGAAGATTTATTAACAACCTGTGATATGCAGATGATACAACTTTGCTTGCTGAAAGTGTAAAGGACTTAAAATACTTACTGATGAAGATCAAAGGGCACAGTCTTCAGTATGGATTATACCTCAATGTAAAGAAAACAAAAATCCTCACAACTGGACCAATAAATGGCATCATGATAAATGGAGAGAAGATTGAAGTTGTTAAAGACTTCATTTTGCTTAGATCCACTATCAACACTCATGGAAGCAGCAGTCAAGAAATCATTAGATATACTGCACTGGGAAAATCTGCTGCACAAGACCTCTTTAAAATATTCAGGAGCAAAGATATCAGTTTGAGGACTAATGTGCACCTGTCCCAAGCCATGGTATTTTCAATAGCCTCTTCATGCATGTGAAAGTTGGACAATGAATATGGAAAACCATAGAAGAATTGATGCACTTGAGTTATGGTGTTGGAGACAAATATTAAAAGTACCATGGACTAGAAGAACAAACAAATATGTGTTGAAGAAATATGGACAGAATGTTCCTTAGAAGCTAGGGACATATTATCAGGAGGGACCAGGCCCTGGAGAAGAACATCATGCTTGGTAAAGTGTAGGGTCAGCACAAAAGAGGAAGACCCCCAATGAGATGGATTGGCATAGTGGCAGCAGCAATTGGGTCAAGGGTAACAATGATTGTGAGGAAGGCACAGGTCAGGCAGTGTTTTGTTCTCTTGTGTGTTATGTTGTTATGAGTCAGAACCAACTGGACGGTATCTAACAACAACAGCAACAATAATCTGTTAGAGGAACAATGAGAAAACAAAACTTAAGAAAAAGAAAGCTTAAGAATTATGTGAGACACCATCAAGAGGAATAATTTGTATGATTGGAATTCCAGAACAGGAAGAGAACCTCCTCCCAGCCCCCACCTCCCAAAAGAAGAAGAAACACTGAGAAAATTGTTGAAGATTTGTTGGAAGAAAGTTTCTTTAATATCATGAAAGGCAAGAAGATATTCATTCAAGAAACTCAATGAACTCCAAAGAGGATAGATACCAAAAGAATATCACCAAGACATATCATAATCAAGCTTTCCAATATTAAAGACAAAAAGAATTCTGAGAGCAGCCTGGGAAAAAAACAAAATGTTACTTATGAAGAAGAACCAATAAGACTAAGCTGACTCAGCAGAAACCATGTAGGCAAGAAGGCAATTTGATGACCTATAAAACCCTGAAAGATAAAAACTACCAACCAAGAATTACATATCTAACAAAATTGTCCTTTAAATCTGATGGTGAAATTACATCATTTCCAAACAAGAAGACATCAAGGGAATTTGTAAAAACCAGACTAGCATTACAAGAAATGCTAAAGGGAATCCTTTAGACAGGGAAGAACATCAGCTACCTGAAATTGAGAAACATGACATCACCAGGAATCTAACCCAAATACAGAATTCTCAAAAATAAAGTAAAACTTCAAGACTGAAAATAGGGAACCAAATATGTCAATCTATAAATGACAACAAATACAAAGCAAAATGAAGGAATAGTCATGTAGTTACAGAACTTCCAAATGGAGAGGAAATCAAGATAGAACAGATTGTTTTGACCTTAGGAAGAAAATAATAAATTGCAAGGTAACTACAAAGAAAATCAATAAAACCTCTATCTAGAAGAAAATCAGAAGGGCCCAGTAAATACAAAATCAATAGCAATAAAGGAAATGAAATGAAAAAATTATAAACAAAATGAATTCAGCACAAAAAAACAAAACAAAGAAATCATCAGTACCACGAACACATAAACCACAGTAAAATGACAGCAGTAAATTTAGACCTATTGATAATTACATTGAGTATAAATGGATTAAATACACTAATAAAGAGACATAGAATGAGAGAGTGAAAGAATGGATAAGAAAACATTACCCATTATTATGCTTTCTATAAGAGACACAATTTAGACGAAAAGATTAGAATAAGAAAAATTCAAAGGGTGCAAAAATACGTATCAAGTAAAGGCAACCAAAATAAAGCAGGAGTGGCATATAAATTTCTGTTAAAATAGACTTTAAGACAAAAATCAATATAAAAGCAAAGATACGATATTAGTAATAAAGGGTCAATCCAACAAGAATAAATAATCATA